GTCAGGCCCCTCCCACGATAGTTTGATTGACAGTAGCGTTTCAGCACAGACTGGACTGGTGTCTTACCTTAGACCCGCCCTGAGTGAGCTGTCATCAGTCCGCCATTGTTTCACTGCCGGGAGCAGATGTAGACAAGAATGACTCCTAAGCGACTGAGGTGTTCTGTTGTTGGATGTAATAATGAACATAGCACTCATCAATTAACTCCCGACATCTGAGCCGCTGAACTCGCAGTGGATTATTTGTTTCTGAAGGGAATGAGCCCCCGATCTACATAAATGCATCTATGTTCGGGTGAATCATTCATGATCCAGCCTCATCTACAGAAGAAGTGAGTATAATGTTTTGTAATGAATCTTTGCAAATCGCCTTTCCTAATAATGTGCTAATTAGCTAATTAGTCTCTCTGAGAGCAGCTGGGAAGAAAGGGGCGGGGTCAGCAGAGCTCATTAACATTTAAAGGAAAATGCTACAAAAACGGCATGATCTGAAAAGAGCTGTTTTTGTCAGGGTAAAAAATTTGTTTTTTACACTACCATTGAGAAATTTTAACCAAACTATGTTACAGACTTTTCATTAAGACCCCAAAGAATCATATCAACTTGTGGAAAATGGGCATCCTATGCCCCCTTTAAGAAAAAAAAAAAAAAAGATTTCCCCTGAAAGTTGGCCACATGTTAGCAATCACTTTTTCAAGAAAAGTAAAAGCTTTAAAAAAAATCACAAGGGGGTGTTACTGATGTATTTTATATGGTAGAATAAAACATGAAAATATTTTGAGCTTGTGTTAATCATAGACCTTATTTCAGAATTTAACCTAAAAACACATTAAAAAACCCCACTGACTTCAAGACGATGCAAAAAAAAAAAAAAAATGTTAACTTGTTTCTGGGTTTTGGCCTACAAAAATGTGTCATCCCTGCAGCACTCTATTGGCTCGAACCAAAATGCAGTTGTGCTGTTTATCATTATTATCATTGCACCATATGCATATGCAGGATGTACTCGATCAGTTACACCTACCCGAGACTTCTGGCCTAGAAATGTTGTTGTTGAGCAAGGGATTTAGTAGATGAGGTGTATTTAAGGCAGGTCTATTCTGCTGAAGATCAAACAGAGAGTTGCTCTTATTGTAATCTTATTCTCTTGAGCCCACTCCTTCTCTAGCCAGTGCTTCTGACTTAGACACGAGAACTGACAAAAAGCCTTTAAAAACAGGAGGAATACATGAATAGATAAATAATTAAATGCACAGGCATATCACACAGTAGTGGCTTTTAATAGCGCCTTAGTCCATACATTAGCATCCACTGGAGAACAAGCCTTCTAAATCCATTTGCTCACACCCACCAGCAGGCCTCAGAAGGATGAGCTTGTGCTCACGGGTTGGCATGTGCTAAAGTCATGCTCCTAATTCTCCGGCTCCCACTCAATTACTTTCCCACTTGTTCAGTCAGTGGCCCGACTGCATTACCAAATGTGTCTTTCACAGGCCTCAGCATACAGATGCTGGAGTGGTTGTGGGTTTGATTGCTGTGCGTTATATATGACCTACTCAAACTGAGCTGCTTAAACTGAATGATGCAGCTTAACTCTGAACTGCATTGGCATAAAGCTAGCCGGTTAGCAAGAGAGCTAACTTTCAGTAATACGAACTTGAATATTTCATTTTCTGTGATGTTGCAAATTCTGCTGATTTCAATATACCACCAAGGTAACGTGATCTTGATCACTAACATAGATGAGGTTTCATTGAAGAAAATGTGTAGCTGTGAGAACGATAATTATAATTATAAAATTATAAACAAATCACTGTATGCCAAGTGTACTTTTTAATTTATAAGTTAAACTGTTGTTGCATAATTACCAGATAATACTGAAAACCTTATAAATTATTTGTCATATGTTTTTTTTGTAAAAAAAAAAAAACAAGGTGAGAAATATTTAGAAAAAATATAAAATATATTTGCTTCAAAAAACATAAAAACAATATTGATTATGTATTGCTGATGAAATAAAATGTATCATATTTCCAAATATGTAATTAAATATCAGTCAGTACCTGGACAGATAGTGAGCATCTCTCTGAGGCAAAACTTTACTGTCTTCTCCATGTTTAATAAAAAATGCTTACTACGCATCAGATGAGCGCTCTGAAACAAATGTTGTTTGAGTATTATAATTAAATGTATGAATAGGCCCACATAAACATGTCAGCATATTCTGTTTAGAGTTAAATGTTGCTTTGAGGTGTGTGTGTGTGTGTATGTGTGAAGACTGCGTTTCTTCATAACAAGGAGAGTGGGGAGTCCATCTGTTCCTCCAGTTGGTTAACTGTGCTAGGACACACACACACACACACACACACACACACGCTCATTTCCTCACCAACTCACAAAAAATATGCAGTCAAGCCGACCGGGACCCCTCACCATGTACTGTAATAATACACTCATCCTTGCACCGTGGTGTCAGCGACCCAGGCTGTTCAGATCACAAATGTTTTGGTGTATAATGGGTCTGTTAGGGAAGTAAGACCTTTTAACATAGAAACACATAAAAGTAAGGGGAATTACAGCTGACATCTGTCGCCGTATTGCTGGGGAGTATGTTGCGAGCTGTTTACATACAAACACAGGGTAGTAGGACTTTCCCAAAGCAGGGTCACAGGGCACTTTTCTACAGCTTAGGTTATGAGACACCAACAAAATCTCTCCTGACATACTGGATTTTCTCATTGCATTGCATGATGGGACGAACTGGCACAACTGTTAGTTGTTGTTTAGCGCATACATTATGTCTTGTATTCAGGAAATGATTTAATATGTCAGTAAAACAATGTTTAAATTGTAAGGATGATGATTAAATGACTGGAGAGATGCAGGCAGCAGTGATGGAAGCTTCCCTTGCTGTCTGGTTGATATTTACAGATCAACAATGTGTCATGATTGTTACCGCCAACCCTCCTGTGAGAATTTGTCCCATGGAGAATGCCAGTGTGTATCATGTGTAGGCATGCTGCTGGGACACTTTCTTCGCCCAACACCTCCACTTATTTCTTAGTAATTTGGTTTCTAACATTGCCTCATATGAATTGTATTTTCATTTATAAGATCTTAAAATGCTCCTCAGTTTTGGATATAATGTAAAGGCGAGTCTAGGGCAGGACCTCTGATAGCTTTTTGAAGTTGATAGAAATGTCTCTAGGTAGCACTCCAT